TCGACCTCCGTTGCGCCATATTTACTCCTTTCCACCTCCACTGCACTTGAAATGACCGATTTAGTAGAAAAATCCCCAAGTGGCTAAAACAGTTGGCATTAGTAAAGCTTGAATCTCGTTCCAGGCAGCCACCGACCTGTGCATGGCAGTGAGTTGCTCTAATTTATAAATGTTGAAACCCTCTCTACGCTCGTCACGTTCCATCGCATTCTCCAGATGGTAACGGCGATACAGCCGCTAAAATGCTGCGATGACACCAGCATTCATCGGCTAAATCATAGAGGTCCTATGTGGTGAAAGCAGCTGAACCTTGACGTTAGTTAACGTAAGGTCATTCGTCATATGCTACAGACCATTGTCAATTCATAGAGGGATATTGCTACTTTTGATCTGAAACAATACAATGTTAGAATAATATGTTTTCTTAGTTCAAATGGCTACGCACCTTCATCGTTTTGTCAAGATTTGCAAGCCATTCCTGGAATAACACGCCCGTCATCCCAGCCTTTGTGTTGTTGAGATAGAGAAATCTATGTGCTTGACCTAATTTCTAGTCAAAGTAGCGGGGCTTCTTGGGAATTTCCCAGTAAAGAAAGGCTGAAGCTTGCCAGAGCCATCATCATTTGCAGTGAGCGCGATTGTAATACGCGACTGCATAGGAAGTCAATGCATACTCTTGTGTTAGTATATGGCAACAAGCATTCTGCAAATTTTCACCTTGGGTTTTTTTGTCCTTTGAGGTCTTGCTGTGCAATAGTCCTGTCAGGTGTCATGCTGCAGTATAGTCCTGCAATTAATTTTGTCAGACTCGGTATTAATTAGAAATATACCAAACTAAATTTACCGGTTTCATCCATGTTGTAAACATCACATAGCGCGTACTCTGCGATGACCTTCTTTACACCAGGCAGAGCTTTATTCATAGCCTCCACGTCCACTGACCCGCTCCCACCGCATATATTGACAGCGCGGAGCACGTAAATTTGCTAAAAATTTATTAAGCCATCCGTGCGAGATAGTGATAGTGTCGTCAGGAGTACCAAGCAATTAAACAAGCCGAAGAGCTTTCGCACAGATGACGTCACCGGTGATAATCACCTTGCGGTGTTGACATTGCACGACCCAAAGAGACACAGGTTCTTCCAATATAGGATGTTGAACCAGCCGATGTCGCTTTGCATTTGAAATGCTTGGATCCATATTCTCCAGAGTAGACCGCTTTCGAAAGATCTTGCTGATTGATGCCTGTGACAGCATTTAGAAAAGGCCGAACTCCGCCATATCCCATTGCGCCAGTTCCGTTTAAGATAAATTTGAGCTCTCATCCGTGTTTTCGCATAATTGCAGACGTTTTCCTTTGGTAAGACGGGTCTGCGACATTAAATTTGCTCAGATTTCACACGAACAGGCATAACACGGTAAAAAAATGCGTATATGTGGCTTTCCCTGTGTCATAATTGTCAGCTCTGACGAAAGGATCTATGGGTGCGTCTCAGACCGTTGGGAAGGAAGCAAACTAGCTACGAGCCTGATACTTTTGTTCTGTTCCAGTATTGAAAGCCTTAGGGAAGGATTTTGGCTTGTACTCAAGAGAAGTGGGGGTTGGTTTGTGTGCCCACGTCCGCTTTGTTAATCACTAAATTGATTGATTATTCTCATGTAGGGATGGGTTAAACATCCCCAAGTGAAAGACTACCTGTCCCCAAGTCCATCCCCAACTACACAAAGACATATGATCAGTTATTTTTGGGTCGTAATTTGTGCTCGTCTTGACAGATGGCAAAACGACAGCCGTACATAGCACCGAGTTCTATGCTAAGAGAAGCTTAAAGAACACAAGTAAACTTATAGGAAAACCACGACCCTGCCCGGGTCCCCGCCGTTTCAAGAGGAGGCGAACGAGCCCATAAAGCCGAGCCTTGCATGCAATATATCACCTGTAGCCTCAATTGCATTCCTATGAATGTACGCGGACCTACGTACACGTAACCATCGGAATAAGGTAGGACCGTGATCCGCCTACGGCATACAAATTGAGGCTCTGAAAAGTAGCTAATCATTTCTTCTGCACCTTCAGGGCGATATGTAAAAGTTGACGAGATATCCTGCGACTGAGAACACTTTCTGGCAGAACAAGATGTAAATGGTATTGGTTTTGCATACTAGTACGTCACCTATGTCGTTGATGTACTGGGGTCAGTGGACAACGCCAGGATCTAGAAGGAGCTCACAAGACAAGAATTAAATGGAAGTGACAGACTGTTTTGCTCAGCATGACAGTCATGTGATTCTCTTTCGACGCGCATGTCGCTACAAACGATGACAGTATGCAGATGCGATGTAATGTTTGGCATTTCTGTATCGTGAATGACAGGATGACTGGATAATCAGTGTGGATGCGCCGTCGCTCTCAAGCTGCTGATAATCCTACGTCATGAAGAGTTCTAGGTTGCAAAGGTACGTACGTGACCCTGTTATTTAAATATTTTTTATATAATACAGCGCTCGGGGGTTAATGGTATGCAGCGGACTGGCGAATACGTCTACAACCAGCAGATACTAAGGTAACAAAGCCACTGTTGTTACCGATGCTGTCTACTAATATCTAACGGATACCCGGCTCATGTAAATATATATTACAGAGTCACTTATTCGTTGAATAAATTGTCCATCCCCGAGCGTATATGGATACTGATAGCTCGAGGTTTGGCAGACGAAGGCACCGCGGAACGCACTCATTGGATTGCAACTACAACATTTGGCGGGTCCGGATCACGCGCGTCGAGGCTATCGCAATGAAGATTTAAATGAGGTTAAACTTATACTGAGGACAGCTACGTGCTCATACCTTGTCTTAACACCTCAAACGTATCTAGTGCATGTAAACTTATAATTAGCGATTATTCCATTTTTTCTACACGAGGTGCATTATTACATGTATGATAAAGAAACTCAAGGACGTCCGTGTCATCCTCATCATTTATATGTGCAACAAACAAGTAGATCCGTGCAGAAATCGGCATGCTTATGATACAGCAAAAAGGGTTGATTGAAAGACGTTCAGATAATAACTCTTGTGATGTCAAAGCATTGATTGTTAAACTATTGGTATTTATGTATTATCTGTCAACGTTGGAGAACTTGATGCAAGCGATAAGAGCATGCATAGATTGTGTGCGTTGACGAGAAGTGGTGAGGCGTGCCAAAATTGCTTTGAAACATCAAAAGTAGCACCACCATCACCACCTCATCTTATAGGCACCCATAATATAAGTGCTAGTCTCGAAGCAATGGAGGTTCCCTTCAAATGTAGCTGATATCCGTGACCTTAATCGTACTTGTAGTGGCAGGAAGAATATTGGGTGTGTTATTGATCGGGTGCGGGATATTCACTTGGACATTGAAGATGGCGCTTTTGATTCGATACTTCCTGGTAGCCCATAGTATCCTGCGCCGTGACATGTCGGTGATCCACCGGAAGAGGTGGAGTCAGTACACGGTACAACTGGTTGTAGCGATGTCTTCTCGAAGCGGTTTCTTTTTTCGAATCATATTCAGATTGTGAATACGAATGGCCTTGTCTTCCAGACACTTAAAACAATTATTTATCGTCCATTATAGCTGCTGCTTTATACACTTGCTTAGTACACGCGCTAGAATCATTTACACTCGACACCTCTGGCAGAAAATCATCATGAATGGTGCTGAAGATAGGACTTGAGTGGCCTGTTGAACATCATGGGCACAAATAATTAGACAAGTACGTTAAAAATGCGAATACCACCTACATGTGACGCAATTTGCTAGATTAGCTACTGTCCCTCGCTCCAGTAGTGGACACACATAGTATCGACTTTCTACTTATATTCGACACGTCAAGCCACATGTTGCCATCAACCTCGGACTGCTATGGGACGTAATTTAACAGTCGTTGTCTTGCTGACGAGTCTCCATCAAGAAAGCTTAAACCATTAGCTTTATAAGTCGCGATAGGATCAAATGAAGGTAAACAGTGAGCTTTGCTGCACGTACCGGCTTGAAATCCCTTACGTCAGTGCAGCACGTACCTGGCTCGAACCTGTTTTACTTCAGTGCAGCACCTTGAATCGAACTTGTCTTACGTCAGTGCCGTAGTTTAGCTTGTATTTCTTGGTGTTTGTTTCCAAACGCTAAAACGTAACGTTTAGCATTTGTATGTGGGGGGAGCCCTTTATATACCAATTCATCTATAGATCTAGTTATGTTGATATACATATATTTGTATTGACCGCAAGACGCAAGGCTATGTACCGCTGTCGTTTTACCATCTGTCAAGACGAGCACAAATTACGACCCAAAAATAACTGATTACATGTCTTTGTCTAGTTGGGGATAGACTTGGTGACAGGTTGTCTTTCAGTTGGGGATGTTTAACCCGTCCCTCTTATGTACGGTATTTAAAAATCAATAAGTTATAACCTTTGCTAAGTTATGGTGATTGTCGTCCACCGTACGCATAATTTATCGGAGGGAAACATGTATATTTTTAATGCGTAGAATGCGTCGAAGGTGCAATTTTATTTCCATAAGTATTTTTGTTTTTACTTTGCACGAAAAACACCAAGTCACGAGAACTGAATTCGGGTCGAATGCACGCGAAAATCTACCGGGTCATTGCATTATCAGCTGGGCGATGAATCTATCAAGTTGTTACCTCCAGACCATGAGCTCGAACAGCATGGAAAAGCTGCATGCGTTGGTGCCAGCGTTATAAACCTGCTTGACGAAATGCAGCGAGCCCGAGTGAAGGCGAATATGACAACGTACGCGCGTGCGATTTCCTCATGCAGTGTAAACAAGGACTCTGAGGCGTGATCTCGATATTTGACACACTCATTGATCGCAAACGAGGAGAAAACTCCGCTGAGATAAACAGCGACCTTGTGACAGAGTCTAGCTTTTCAGCCTACCTCGTCGAGGGCTCCACACTACGAGACAAAGACCGAGGAACCGAAGCTTCGATGCTCCTTTACAAGTGGCACGCCGCAACAGGCCAAGTGCCGCCAGTATTTGTCGTGACGCAGATGTTGGACTCGCTGGAAGATATGGGCGAGTGGCGGCGAGCTGTTCGTATGCTTCCCGAGTGGCAGGCGCTTTCGGTGTGGCTCCTAGCGTCGCTGTGTTCAATCGTGTTATGCAAATGTGCAATCATGCAGAGGAGTACCAGCTTGTAGCTCCAATATTCGCTACGATGCAAGACGCCGCAGCGTACCGCATTGTCCCGACACTGAAAGTTCCGTACACACGCATTTATGCCGAGGAACAGCGCGAGAATTGGGCAGTAGCCACTGACCTATTCGTAGAGATGCAGAAGAGATGCCCACGTGACGAGATACCACATCACGAGCTGCAGAAGATCGCATTGGGTCGATACAGATTGCGCCAACGCGAGACGTGACGCATTATGTCGCAAGGTGCTTCGGCTCATGTTCACTCTTTACTACGTCGCGCTGTTGCTCATATTCGGTTTTCAAGCAAGCTCTCCTCTTCGTCAGGGATCGACGAAAGAGACAGGCTGCAATCGAGGCTACCAGAAAAGCTGTTTGAAGTTGCGCTGCTTCTGTTGTACCCTTCTCGATAGCTCGGCTGTGTGTAAATCGATTCATCCGATGCGCAGTAATGGAAAAACGTCGCGCCGAACACGAGAACAAGCGCAGCAACTGCAAACACGAGGTCCCACGATCCCGTAGCTTGCAGAATTGCGCCTGTGACCAAATTGCCAATGATGCCAGGAATGGTTCCGAAGGTGTTGGAGACGCCCATAATGTGCGCAGCGTGGTTTGGCGCCACATCGATCATGTTGACCCAGTATCCAGCCATAGCGGCGCAACCGGTGGACGGTGTCATACACAACGCGGCACCTGCAGCGGGGGCTGAGTTCGCGAAACGCAGCAGGACGAGAAAGTAAGCGCATCCGAGGAACGAAAACGCATTCATGACTTGACGCACATGCAGTGCACGATGGCCGCGAGTGCCTAACAGGTCTCCTAGCCGTCCAAACAGCAAAGTCCCGATGTAGCCGTACATGTAGGGCAGCGCCGCAGCGAACCCGCCCTTCTTGGCCAGATCGAGGTTCAGGCCTTGGCGAACATACTGCGTGATCCAGTCCAGCAGGAACTACCAACCATAATTGTTGCACATGTGCGCGGCATAGATCGCCCACGCAGGTCGTGACGATAGCAACACGCGCCAGTTCAACGTATGGATCCAGTCCAGATCGGCGCGATGTTGACAGGTGGTGCTTGGATTTGCAATGCGGTTGCGCAAAATGAACGTTTGTTCCTCCACGGTGATGCGTGGGCCATCTTCTGGCCGACTAGCTCCTCTAAACACATACGCCACAACCCAGACGAAGCTGAAAGCGCCAAACACAACGAAAATGCGTTGCCAGCCACTGGCTGCCATTATCGCAGGCGATATGATCAGTGCAGAGATGGTGCCCAGATCGGAGCCACTTGCAACTAGCGTCACGAGACGACTCCTTTCCTGTACCGGGTACCATGCACTCGCGATCTGGTGCATGCAAGGGAACAAGATGCCTTCTCCAACGCCCATACCTGCTCTCGTGAACAACAGACACGTGAGGCATTTTGCCACGACCACTGTCGACAGATCCTGCAATTAAACAAGCAAGCAACGTCAGACTGGCACGATACTTCGCCTCAGATGTCCAGCGCACATGCGTTCATAGGTACGTACGAACAGCGTCCAGACGACAACACCAGTGAGCAACACAATCTTCGCGCCAAATCTAGCAGCAAAATACCCCCCGAGGATCTACAAGCATACGAGTTAACACACATGAGAAGACAGTCCGCTTGTGCATAACCGAGTCGATGGACAGCATTACTTGAGTGCACATGTAGCCATAGAAAAACGCCGACAGCACTTCGCCCTGCTCCTTCTTATCGAGCACGAGCGCCGGCAACGCTATGCCCATGTTGGTCCCTGTGTCGGATAGCAGAGCCACAGTTAGCTCTTAAGTCTCGTTTCAACAGGCGATCCCACGTCACACGCAACATACGTTCAGCGTAGCAGATGGTCGAGACACAGAGACATAGAAACGCCGTCACATAGCGTCGATTGCCTCGCGGTAGCTCCGACGCGGCGTCTCGTGCCTCGACTTTGTCCGAGTCCTTCCACGTCTCTTTGTTCGCCATTGTGGATTCCAAGACCAGGACCGTCTGTTGCGTTGATCACGGATTTCGACCAATCACAGTAGCGCTCATGCCACTCACACGAACGACGAAAGCGGAGACGTATCCAATGACCCCTTAGCGACCATGTGAAGACGGATCTCCCCGAGGCGACTTGGCGCGGTACCGTTTCGGAGCGGCTATCGATGACGCTGCCGTAGTCTTGCGAGACGTTGCGCCAGCACTTGGCACCTTCATGCTTCGGTTTGTCACGGCAACACCAGACGACTTCTTGTTGTGCATTCCAGACACTCCAGCTTTCTTGAGCTTGGAAGGAGTGACGACGGACTTGGCGTCAGTGAAGCCAGATGTCACGCTTGTCCCCCTTGCATCGACACAGGCGACGACGGACGTTTTGCTAGTGTCCAGAGCGTCTTGGTTGCTGGGCGACGTCGGGATGCCGGCTGCAGATTGGCTTGTCTTGGTGCTGACTGAAGCGTCGCGTGGAAATGGCATGGCGCAGGTCGCCGCTGAACGCGTGACATGATCGAAGCCACTTGGACTGTCATCACTCGTTCTCTGTCGCTTGCGGCCAGGCTCGCTGGGACTTGGCGAGCCGATGGAGACGGGCGAGTTGGTCGCAGCGTCCGACGCCATAGCTGGAGAGTTGGTGGACTGGAAAGACGGAAACGGCCGGTCATCCTTCTTGATTGGCGTGAACCCTGTCCTTGCATTGATCTAGATGGAAACAACGCAACCAAAGTGACCACTTAGTCACAGTGTGCGAGCATGCGATATCAAGCAGATGCTCACCTTTCGTTTCTTCATGTACGTTTGCATTTCTTGCAGTTGCTGATTCGACGCCGCCGTAGCTTCGTCCACAACATCTTTGCCAAGCTTCAAACAAAGCCCAATCTTACCTTTTGCGTTCGACATTTGAGCGTGCAATCGTTCTTCCAATGCTTTGCATCCCCCGTTCACAAGCGTTTGAAGCTCTTCATGCTCACGTACAAACTGCGACAACTGTTCTCGCCTCTTTCTCGATGTTGTCGTATGACACTTCAAGTGTGTTTCCGATAAACAGTCCATATCCTTCGTGTGCTTCAATGTAAGCCCAGTAGTCGCGTTGCACCATGTCGTCTGCAGTCGTTCGTGCGACTGAATCAGCTCCGTCTGGCGTGCTTTCGCGTCCACAAGTTGGTCTCGCATTTCAGAAAAGCGTTCGTGAAGCTTAGTTGCCTCACTCTTTTGCTTCACGCTTTGACTGTCCATCGCCTGCAAGAATCCTTGCATCTCTTTCTCCGTGGTGGTCTGCACACACAAAAGCTGTTTTTGTTGATGCTTCGCGTTTTCTTGAATCAGCACTGTTTGCTCGTCAAGCTTCTCGTTCCCGTTCTGGATGCACTTTTCAATGTACTGAGCAAGATGTGTCTTGAGGCCACTTAACTCCTCTTGGTGCCGAGCGTGACTGTCTCTTAGCGCAGCCGTGACCACTGCCTTGCTTTCGTCGAGCTCCTTGCTCTGTATCTGAACTGAAGTGTCGATTACTGCCTGCAGCTCCTGCAATTTCTTGCTTTGCTCCACAAGAAAAGTACCCAGCTCTGCACGAGACTCGTCTAGCGTCGACTGGACAGTTTCTAGGCATGACAGAGTTCGCGATTCAGATGCAGTCAAGTTTACTATGATAGCTGCCGCGTGGCACTTGGACATCTCAACAAGCTTCTTGAGCTGCTCCTGCATCGTTTGTTGCTGCTCCTTCATCGAATTCGCCACTTCCTCACGTTGTGCTGACTTTTGAGCATCATCTTCAGCGAGTGATTGAGTTGCCTGCAACCTGTTCGCTTCTACGACGCCTTCCACAGCCCTCAAATTTGTGACAAGTCCATGCAAGTCCGATGATTGAGTCGTCTGTAGCTCGCGCAAAGCGCTTAAGACGTTAGTAAACATCTTTTCCTGGCTCTCCTTGTGTGTCGCTAGTCGTTCCAAGAAGCTGTTGATCTGGAACTGCGAGGCACTACGATACGACGTTGCCAGTTCCGTGTTGGTCTCGTCGTTACGCTGTGTGCTCTCTGCAAGAAAAGGAACAAAGAGTGTGTAAGACGGCACGCACATATGTGTAGCGAGAAATAAGCGTACCGATCTTTGTCAAAAGCTGGGCAATCTGCTTTTGCCGAGCATCGTACAGCTCAGCAGCGGTGAGTCCGTTTGCAAGTAGCACTTGCTCATTATTTTGGAAGGCTTTGAGCACAACTTGTACTCGCTGCAGCTGGTCGGATACTTTCGCCAGCGTTTGCTTTGTTTCAGTTAGCTGGACTTGTGTTGCCGCCAGTTTCTCGCCCATCTCCTGTTTTGCATACACCAGAGCTGCCACTTCACTCGCATTCTTTTCGGCAACTTCCTCTAGCTCTTTGCAAGACGAGTTTCTTGCCTTAAGTATATCCTCCAGCTCCGTCAGTTGTACAGCCTGACCGGAAAGTCGCTCTTGCATATCAGTAAACTGTTCCAGCGGGAGGTACACGCCGTCTTTCAGTCTAGCAGCGCGCAAGGCTGCACGAAGTGTCTCAATCTCGCTTTCAAAATCATTCAACAACCCCGATTTGGTCATCTTTTGATTCAGTTCAGGCTTATTCTTGATATGCTTTGCACGGAACGCATACTCCAGCGTGCTAAGCGTCTCGTCCAGGCTGTCTGCGCAAGGTGCAAGCGTTGCGATGATCGTCGTTTTCGCCCGCCCTCCAAGAGACTCCTGCAACAAGCGCGTGAGCTTGCTATCGCGGTATGGAACATGCGGAAGGTTGTCAACCAGCGCCGTGATGACTCGACCTAACGTGAGCAGACTCTGATTGATCGTCCCTGCCTCGCGCGCTCTGGCATTGCGTGCTCCCGATCGACCTACACACTCGGATCCAGCAAGATCCACCAGATTGAGCTGTCCGACCCGCAAGGAGGTCTTCACCTGCCGCGTTGTGCTCTTTGCTATGGATCCGAATCGTGAATATGCTATGCGATCGACTCGAGTTTTCGTTCATCAGTGTCTCGGACGTAATTCGGTTCTTGACGCCAGTATTGACTAGTTCATAAACATGTTTCGCTGTCGTTGCCGTGAGTTCCAGCAAATTCACACAATAAATTCCTCCTTTCTTAGCATCTTCCATCAGCCGCAGCTTCTTGTCTGCGTCAGGATCTAATAAGTCTTTCAGTTCTTCATTGTAGAGCTGCAGAAACGATACTCGGACACTAAACTCTTCCCCACTGGCCCCCAGATCGTCAAAAATGCAGCGCACACTACGGGGAATGATACCAGCCGGTTCACTGCCTGGAAGCAGATCGCCCTGCATCGTGTATGTCTTGCCTGTACCTGTCTAGCCGTAAGCAAATACAGTGCAATTGTAGCCTGCTAGCGCCTCGTCTACTGCTGGTCGCACGACTGCATCAAACACGTCTTTCTGCGTCGAATATTGCCCAAAAACACGGTCAAACGTGTACGTTTTGCGCTTCACAATGGCCACTTCACTCGACTGAGGTTTGCATTGGACGACAGCGCCACGTCCGGCAGCCTTCTCACGGCTACTGAGAGGTCGACAGCGTACCGCGACTTGCACGTTCGTAGTTATCGCCGGAGGCAGCGGCGGAGGAGGAGCGTCGTGTGCGCTGGAAGAAGAGGACGACGACAGGCGGCGAAGGTCGCGACTCGACTCCATCGTGTCCTTTTGGCGGTATAGCGTTTCGATTGGCTGTTCGATCTGTACTTTGATCGGACGTCAACGACTCGCGGGTTTTAAGCGCGCGTTTCGACCAATCAAGTGAAGGACTGTTGAAAAGGATACATTCACACTTTGTCGGCTGCTATGGGGCTTCCGAACCAATACAAGTGCTGCTTTATCTGCAACAGCCTCGATTGTGTCCTGCAGGTCCGTATGGCTCGTCAAAGACGTCATTCGAATCGACGGACGACATCAACGTCTATTTGTTAGAATATACTCTATCTGACAAGTCAAGAAAGTTGTGCAGGTCATGGGCAAGACCTGGTACAGGTAAGTGCGACCTCACCTGATTGGCTTAAGATGTGACAGAATGACAGGTGGGACGGGAGAGACGGACGCCATGTGACAGGATGTCACATGGGACAAGGAGAGAAGGACGTCATGTGACAGGATGTCACATGAGGACAGGGAGGGACGGTCACCACATGAGACTTGACATGGTAAAGTTGTAGTTTCCGTTTCTGGTCATACATATCGTAGTGTTGTAGGAAGCAAGTTCTTAACACACAATAAATTATCATTTAGTTCCACCTACTTTGCGCCAAGTGCACTACTACACTCTTTCAGGTTATGAGCTCAACAGAATGTGTTGGCGGCGCGGCTCGCGGAGCTACACCCGCTGTGATGGTCGATGGTCAAAAGAAGACCATTGATCATCAGCTGGAAGAAAAGTCGTCAGTGCACGCGGCCGCGGCACTGGACAAGATGCTCGTCATGCTCGGTGATTTGTCGGAGCGAATGTGCAGGATTGAATCCTTACACTTCGAACAAGTCGGCCAACAACGGAAGGACTCTCTAGAGTCGAGCGTCTTTGGTTCGGCCTTGGGAACACGACAGGTTATTAACCTCCAGGTTTGGAGCGTATTCCTTCTCCCAAGCGGTCACCGAATGTCTCGCCGGACACCTTCTTTGGTGCCCGACGACCAGCTTTTGCTGGAAACATAGTAGATCCACCGGTCCAGGTCCGAACCGCCTGTGTGAGGAATGAAGGACCAGCACCCGGAGCGCAGGGACCAACACCGGCACCGTATCTAGGTGTGGGTGAACCATGTACGATTTTTTTCACAAAGGCTAGATACCCATGGGTGTTCCTGACGGTCGTCAGAGCAAATTGGCGTTGCAGCCATTTGATGGAAAGGAACTTTATCATGGCCTTGGAAGTGGTTTCTTAGAACGGGGCGAGGAGTTTGTACGCCAAGTTGGGCTCTCCGAGCGCGCGTGTGGCTTCGTATGGCCTGAAGATATCAAGGTCAATGTGCTTGGTCAACACCTTGCTGAAACGGCAAAAAAGTATTACCGCCGACAGGTGGAGACTAGGTGGTCTGATAGTCAAACCTTGGATCATGCAATGCAAAGCAAAGGTTGCTCCAAACCTTCGACATCAAGATAACACCTGCCCAGAGCATGAAGCTGTTTACTGCAGCCAAGTCGTCGCATCGAAATTGGACGGAAATTTTCTTGTATCTCACTGCTGTGAGCAATGCCTTCGGAGGCGCGGACAACCTCGTTTTGGACAACATCGTTCACTACGCAGACCCGACGATGCGCACGACGATATAATTGAGTTTGGATTTGCACAGGGTCGACTTCTTGCGACAAGCTGAAGAACTGGCACAGTTTGCACAATCGACGGAGATCGACGTCCGTGTCAAGCAGTTCGGCCGTGATGTTGTGAACGTTGTGTAGACGACCAAGGAGGTAACGAAAATTAAGCCAGCCAAGAAATGGTTTATGGATCAATGTCAAAAAAGATCTTACCGCTGTGGAAACACGGGACACCTCAAGGCATCCTGTACGAGAATATCAAATAAAAACAAGATGAGGATTTTGTTCTCACAGTCCGTGATGCGGACGGGGATCAGACCCAAGGAACCGCCAACTGGGTGCTGGACAGTGGGTCGGGGCGTCATTTGGCCAATGAATTAAGCCTGCTGAAGGACGTGGTTGACTACAATCACGAATGTTTTACCGCAGTGTCTGACGTAGGATCTCTTCGGATCATGAAGCAAGGCAGTGCCATGATCCGGGTCAAAGCACTCTATTTTATCAAGACCATCTGACATCTCCATGTTCAATACGCCTCAACTTGGGGCGTAACATCATTTCTTTCGGGAAAATGGAGAAGAAGGGATGCGTGCTTGAATATCGTGAAGGAAGGCGTATTTTGGTCTCTCATCCCGGTGGTTCAACAATCATGGATGTCGATCGCATCAACGATGTATTGATCGTTGAGGTTTACGACGACATTTCGACGAACGCTTTTCGTGCTTATGACTCACCACAGATGGCGGATATGGCGATTGTGAATAGTGATGGAGATAGAAATAAGACGAATATTTAACATGGAAGCTTGCTACAGTTCCATCGGCGTTTGGGTCACCTATGCTACGACACAATAGTCAAGATGGCCCGTGACCCTATATTTGGTAACAAACTTACAGATAATAGGCGTGTTAACTGCTTGGCCTATGCAAAAGGCAAGCAGACGAAAAACCGACAATCTCGCAGAGACAGTGGTACCAATTCGCCAATCAACGTGATAGGAAGAGTCATTTTCTCTGATCTTAAAGGTCCCATGACTACTCGCGATCGGCTCGGAAACAGATACCTGATCAACTTCGTTGATCATCAGGTCAACTATTGCCGGGTTTTCTTAGCGAAAACTAAAGACGTTGCCGCGATGATTTTAAGCATTTCCTTTCGGATTTCGAGCGAATTTCTAATTGCCGGATCCACGTCTCACGCACAGATGGTGGAGGCGAATACAAGCTTCTGGATGTGTCCTGCAAAGACACTGGTGTCGCTCGCCAAATTAGCGAGCGTGATAACCAGGCCGACAATTGCAAAGCCGAAATGATGCATCAAAAGATTATGAGCATGATGCGCAGCATTATGTTTGCAAGCGGACTACCTTTAAAGTTCTTGGGATGATGCCACTGATTATGCAGCGTACATACTTAACCGAAGCCCGACTAAGGCGAAAGAAGGTGGGATCTCACCGATTGAACTACTCACCATGAAGAAGCTTAACCTCAGCGACATCGTGGTGTTTGGATCGACGTGCACAGTTCACTTGCACACGTACAAGATATCGCTGGGTGCGCGTGGGAAGGCAGCAATCATCATCGGAAAGAGCGATGAGACAAAGGGATACGTGTCTAACGCCAAAGGAGTGCGTTGTCGTGGTCACGCAACATGTGAGGGACATTGAGACCCTGAACACCATACAAGATGGCAAAGCACAAGAAGTTCACGATGATGCTGAAGGTCAGGAGGAGTCGCAAGATAATCACGACGAACGTTCAGCAACGAGTCGGTTATCCGGATGGACGCGTGACCGACATGTGACAAGGTCCATTGGCAAGAGATAGGATGAGTCGAATTATGATAACAAAGGCGAAGAAGATCAAGATATTGTCAGCATCGTGATCGAGCCAGCTCCCAAGGTACTGCGGTGAGGCTGTGCGAAGTCCATTATAAGACAAGTGGTGCGTACCAATGACTGAAGAACTGACAACTCTGGAATCAAAAGGAGTGTGGACGGTGGTGATACCGCCCGAAAATTCACGTGTTCTACATAACAAAAGGGTATTCAAGACAAAAACCGACGCCGATGGAAATGTAGAGCGGCACAAGGCTAGACTGGTGGTATGCGAAAATGAACAGCTATTTGGGATCAACTACACACTGACTTTAGCTGCAGTCATGGAGCTTGGCACCGTAAAGGTCATCTTGGTACTGTCACGTCGATGGAACGTACCAGCGCGCCACGGTGAGATCCCGAACGCCTACGTCAAGGCAGAAAAGGAAAAGGATCTCGGCATTTACATGAAGGTGCCCAGCGGGATGCAAGTGAGTAAGACATTTTGAACGATGACGACGACAAGCACCCAAAACACCTTGCCTTGCTTTCGAAGAAGTCCCAGTACGAGTTGAAGCAAGCTGGACGCTTGTAAAGTCAACGTTTACACTCGAAGCTAGTTGAACTCGGTTTCAGCCAGTGTACCACGGACATGTAACTATACGGTAAGAAAATCTACGAGGCCATCCCGATCGTTGGGGTATACGTCGGCGCCTTTTGGTCACAGGAACTTTAAGTAAAGATGTGGAGCAGTTTTTAAGAACATGGTGTGCCTCGATCTCAAGGATCTAGGCGTCGTCAACACGTTTCTGGGGTTAAGAATTCGGTTATATGACAAGTGTAGTTACATGCTGGACCAAGAGGTGATGATAGACCTGTTGCTAAACGATCACGGACTGGAGTCGGCGAATGGTGTTCGTGCTCCTATTGATGAAGACTGCAACGAAGTGGGCCCTGTAGCGATAGACACATTGGTTAAGTCAGATGGGTCTCTACATGCGAGCATCAAGACGTTCCAGTCGATGGTCCGAAGCCTGCTTTGGATTGGACGCTGTACACGACAGGGCATCAGCTTTGCGGTAAATCGTGCGACAAGGCAGACACACAACCCAATCGTGAAGGATTGGAAGATGGCCAAACGCATTGCAAGATATCTGAAGGGAACATAGACGTTAAAGTTGTTTACTGACAGCTCAGGAAAGTCAATGGACCCGATCAAGATCGAGATCTGGAGTGACGCGGACTTTGCAGCAGACAAGTCAGACCGCAAGTCGGTCTCAGGACGCGTGTTTACGATGGATGGAGCAGTGGTGTCATGGGCGTGCAAGAAGCAAACCGGAGTCTCCCTGAGCACCATGGAAGCTGAGTTTATCGCGGCGTCACAGGCAGAACGTGAACTATAGGGGCTGAAGGAACTAATTGGTGAGCTAGACATGAAGGTCGTTGAGCCCATGCCGATGTGAATTGATAAACGAGCCGCGATCAAGCAACTAGACAGCGATGATAGTACGTCAAGCTCTAAGCACGTTGATATTCGATTAAAGTTTATCTGCCACTACGCTCAAGCCAAGATAGT